AAGCACTTGCAACCCGGTGATGTAGTGTCCATACTCGACGTAAGACGTGATGATAGAGAACCTCAGTGAGGTGTCGGTGCCGCGCTCTTTCTTAAATATAATTAATAGATCAAATCCAATTGTTTGGACAAAGTCGATCTCCAGAGCTTGAGGCAACTCGTCGATGATGACAATTCCACTATATGATGACAAGGCGCAGTTGCCGCACATTCATGGTGGCGGCAAAAACAACTGCACCAAATTCTTTCACTTGCCTGAGTACTTTGGAAGGAAGTTTGAACCTTTTTGTCAACAAACCTTTGCAACATCGATGAGTCTTTACACATACATACCTTGACAGGCCTGACACGTTTTGGCTTGCTATTCAGGTCCACCAAGTCTATTTGGTCAATATTTGGTGTATTTGGAAGGGGTCATCAGAGTCGGAATAAGAATATGAGTCGTAAAAACATTATATAATCCTGCATCACAGTCACAAGTTTAGCACAGAAAGAAACACACAAAATTGAAAGCCAACCAGGAAACGGCTCAGTCCTCGCCAATGGATACAACATGATACGACTTAAAGCGCTTCCTGATTACTTTGAGAGTAGAGGTAGAGAAGTGGTTGGATGAAAACACGTTTTATTGCCAAATAGAAACCCCTTTCGCTGAAGAGAAGACGTAGCATCTTGATGCAAAATTCTTCCTGACCTCTTTCATGACGCGCAGAGTCGGATTCTTTCAAGTCGACAGAAGGCATCATCAGGGAAGAGGGGGGGAAGGCCGCAGGCGGATAGAGGATAAGAATGGATAATGATAAAGAGGTAAGCCAATGATTAGCTATTACGTAGGATGCTACAACATATGGGACATATTATGGACGCAGGAATAGCTCACGCTTCTTCAGGGAAACCCTTTTGCCTGAGGGCGGGGGGAGCTTCCTTGAAGAAGCGCTCGCACTAATCGGTCCTAGATTTAGGGGAAACAACGAAGTGAACTCATCGGTAATGCGCAAAACCAAGGATCGAGTAGATAAACCATTGGCTGGAAACCTGTCGCACGGATCGCATGGTACGAGTATCTTCTCCACACAAAGCATTTCAAGCATGGCAGGAGTCGGAAGATCTTGTCCGGGTCGCCGAACACACTATCGTGCCACCGGGCACTGTTGAAATACTATGTATATAATATATAATTAGCACGTACCCCTCTGCTATACAACTCCGCCTACAATTCAATGTTGAATTGCAATGTTGACGAATCATTGCAGAAAGGGGCTCCTGGTGAGAACTTGAGAGGGCCCGGATCAGGGATTCATGACAAATAAGTGCGTATGTTAAATGATGCTGCACAAGTCTCTGCTGGCTTTGCAACACTCTTTGCAATCTCCCAACCTGCGCAATGCTGAGGGTTGCTGCATCACGCAACAAGGCTGGATGCTGCCCGCAGAAGGCCAGCGCTGAAAACAGTGTGCCAGTGCCTGGTTGCTGACATCTCAACTGCATGGAAGCTCCATCAAGCTCAGCAACAAATCGCACTTGGGCCAGCACTCAAAAGGGTGATAAGTGACACAATCGCTGAGCACAAATTAACCCAGAGCATCTGGTTGTACCTGAAATGCAAAGCCAGGCAGAATCAAAGCAAGATTAAGCAGATTGCCAGACTTGATCATACTTGATCAACTTATCACTTGGCTCATGGTGGAGACATTCTGAGGGAAATACTTGGACAGGCCATACTCCTTAAAGAGCTTCTCTTGCATTGGTGAAGTAATTCCGTCCAAGGCCAGAAATAGCAAGAGCAGCAGAAGACCTCGCTGCAAAAAAGGACACCCATGAGGACCCGCTGCAAATGCCGAAAATGCAATCTTACAGAGTCTCATGAGACCCATCACATATTTCGCTTGTCCAGTTCCCTGTATTGTCGTTTGTGGTCTCACAGTCTCAGCTGCCTTTGATGCTGTTGTTGGTGTTGTCGTCGTTCTCTCCAGAAGGACTTGCGATAGGTCCGGTCAGAAGAAATTGGGTAACACCCCAGGTCACAGCCAGAGCAACTCCCCACTCCTGAAGCTTTTCAGTCCACCATATTGACCGCCTTACTGCCCCTTGAAAAGTCATGATGTCAACTTTAGAATTGAAAAACTGCAGGAACAAATTCGCGGTCCTTGGCTTTGTATTGCTTGGACCTTAAACGGCAAACAAAAGGCTGGGTGCCTCCGCGTGCTGTACTGTTGACACTAGTTAAGTATTTGTGAATATCTATCAAAATCTATCATGGAATGTCATGATTGACCCTTTGGACAACTCTCGCCACAAGTCAAGGCGGGCACTCTTCAATGACTGGGTAAACAGTTTGTCAACAGGTTCGTGAAATGATTTGTGAAACGTTTGAACCGGCCAAGGCACGAAATGACAATGCCCCACAGCATGACCGGCATCATCTTGAAGCTCTTGCCAAGCATCTGCACAGGGAATGATACCTGATAACGAGGTATACGGTATAAGCATAAATGGCAAGAAAATCATAAATGGCCAGAAAATCAATATGTTACTGAAAGACAAAAAACAATGCAGTGTGGCAAATCGAGACACATACTTCAATGCTTCGTACTGGCACGTGGTCGCTAGCACGTTAGACAAAGACCTGGGAGCGGCAAAGAGTCTGCGACTCAGAGTCCAAGCAAAGCTCAGTTGATACTAACATCATCTACCAGCATATGTTATTGAAAACCGCTAGGTTGGGCAGGTCTGCCAGCACCGAAGGCGCCAAGGCGTTTATATAACCTATGAAAGCAGTGTTACACATCAGCCTTGATCAGTAAGCACAAAAGCTTTGGCGAGGGGGAGGTGCCTCTGCTTGCATCATGGTGCCTATGGGAGTTTCAGTCAAGCGCGTCTCGGGGCACTATGTGATAATATAACGGTGTTTTTTCGGTATATTTGTGGACTCGGATATCTTTTTTATCAAGTTGTGTATGGTTGGAAGCCGCGGAAGTCACGGCATACTAGGCAAAAACTTGTGTTCCCCAAAGTAAACGCGACGCCAAGAGCGGGGTCCCGGCATAGTCCTTGCAAAACGTTGTTCCCGCATGTAAACGCGATGATTTGTGAATGTTTTTGGTGTGTTCTCCCCAACACAATTCTCATGTATTCAAAACAGTGTTCCCGCATGTAAACGCAATCATGTAGAAATGTCACTTAGCCATGTTGTGCAAAAACGAGGTTCCCGCATGTATTTGGCAATGCTTTTTGATGTGTTCTGAAGTTCCATCCGAAGCACAATTTTCATGTATTCACAACAAGCTTCTGGCATGGAAGCGCAGTGATTTAGCAATGATGTTAATCTCCTTGTGGTCCCTTGACATCTCTTTGGACCAGGCTCTGGACACTCTACTTGAGTCACACAAGTTGCGGAGAGATATCGGAACAAGGATGAACGAGAGGGTGAACGAGGTCAGAGCCCGTGCCACCAAGGAAAGCCCTCAGAAGGAAAACCTCTAGTTACCTCATCATGTATATGCTCTCGCCTCTGTCCTTCTTTCTTTCTTTCTTTCTTTCTGTCTTTCTTTCTTTCTTTCCATCCTTCCTTCTTTCTTGTCTCCCCGCTTGTCTGCTGTGATCGGCGTTTTGTCTGCCGCTGCTGCCTTGTCTCCTTACTTGTTTCCCCACCTGCCTCCCCACTCGTTGGCCTGTGCGATCGGCGTTTTGCTTAATGTCGTTTTGTTTGCCGCTGCTGCCTTGTTTTCTCCCCAACTAAACACAACATCACCACGACTTCCATAGATTCAAATCCCCAAGTAAACGCTTCGCAAATTGAATGTCGCCACGACTTCAACATTTGAGAGTATGATGTCTGCAGCAATGGATGGATGGACCAGTGGGTGGCTACCTACCACAATTGATATCCAATAAAATTGGCTTGGATAGAATCTTTTGTTTCCTGTATGGGTGCATAAGGGCACCATGCTGTAGTGCAGCCAGTCTCTGTCGAATCGTTGCAGCATCACGTGTTGTGATCTCTGGAGATATCCGTAAAGCACAGCTCTGCAGTCAAAGATCACTACCATGTATCGCCAAACAGGAGCATTGAGCTTCCACTCCTCGCCCTTGACCTTTGCCATGAACAATCCAAACCTGCAGTGCAAAAATAAAGCTGGACACCACTGGACACTCCAAAGTAGCGGTAGCTTCACTTGACAAACGTTTCGTTCTTGACTGCAACGTCCCACAAGATCCTTTTGCAGCAAAACATCATGTGTACTGCAAAGGCGATCGCAAGCTTGGCCAAGGTACCAAATCGCGAGAAATCTGTTGCAAAAGACCAGGAACCTTACTACGCCACAAATGATTCAGTCGTTGTTCAATCGCATCGCACGTTGCATTCACCGGATGAAAAGAATTTGTCCTAGCCTGTTTGCAAGTAAGTAGCACAGAGTCGCCAAACATTGCACCATCATATGGCTGGGACATGATTCGTTCCTGGAGCAAACCATAGACCCACAATGCTCCAATGATTCCTGCAGCATAGACCTGGGCACTCACTGGTTGCTCATCATCCATGGTTAATCATTGAATGTTTGAAGCTCAAAATGTCGCCACCAATGTGGAGAACGAAAAATGGCTTGACTTGACTTGACTTCTTCCAATATGTCAGGCTGCACCACCCCAGAAGACAGTCTGAGATGTGCTTCTCTCTTCCGTCATTGTGAAAGCCAATATGAAACCTTGGCATTGCCAAATCGATTTTCTGAGAGCTTTTGAAGAGCTGAATAGTTTTGAGTCTCACTGGTCTACATCAAGTAGCTGATTGAGTGCAGAGGGCAGAGGGGATGGGTTTTCCCTACTCTGAAAGCCCGAGCCATAATTTCACGTGAAATGAGCGAGATGAATGAGTGCCCTCCCTCAAGTTCCAACCACACTCACAAAAGGATCAAGGATTCTGCCAGTCTTCAGCGTGAAGGATGCCGATAGTCAAATCTTGCACAATATCTGGCACACGAGCACTCCCTAAACTTCAGCCTTCTCTCGCAGGATCAAGTCAGATATCTTCTCTTCTCTCTCTTGCTCATCATCCGATGCCAATGGTAAAGCCTCGGGAAAGGCTCTACGGACATGCATCTACAATTTGGATCAACTTGGTAGCTCCACACCCTATGGGGAAATCCACGAACCCTATCGCCTGCGTGCCCAAATGCTTGGACGCAAAGATTGCTGGAACCCTTCAACCACTTTGTTGTAAGGGTTGGTGCAAGGAGGTGTGCAAAAGGTATCTCTATCTTCTAGCAGCTGTACCAAAGTTCACTAACCAAAGTGCACAGTAGATCCAGCTAGGCTTCGCACACTGGTCAGAAGCCGCGCCAGTCGTTTTGCACGGGTTGCAGCCAAGCTTGCTTTGCCACTTTTCCCACTTGTGCCTTAATGAAAAACTTGGACAACAAACATTCGGGCTACCTCCATGAGAGTAATGTGATGGGCAGTGTTGAGATCGAAGTCGCTGTGTCCACTGAAGCAGCACACCGCAGAACCCATGTAGAAGCATGCATAATTCCAATGGCTTGAATGGTTGCGAGAAGAACTGCAGATCTGGCAAGCACAACCAAGCAACCAGGGCGTCTTGGACCCCCAAGATGCCGTTGGAGGTCTGCTCCTGCTTGCAAAGCCTAGGATCTGAGCCTTGCAAAGCCTATAAGTCTGTGCACAGCGGAACTAAGGATGTGGCCACAAGAAGCTTTCTGTATAGAGTGTCGTCAAAACAATCCCGTGGCTCCACCAACGAGGGCCTGGAAGGTCACATCACGAAAACAAGAACCACAGTCAAAAAATACGAGAGTCACGATGTTAGTTGGCGCTCGCCTAGTAGGTAGCTGCTGGACCGACCTGTTTCTCTTGTGTACAACTTTGTGCTATTTCCTGTCTGTTCTGTAGCATGCTCGGCCAATGCTCGCGGATGAGTACTAGCTTTGCATGTAGCGTGTCGGACAAATGTCCGTCTTTCCATGCGAGACAGTGCTGGGATGAAAGTCGTAAGTGTGCTTGTCAGGAAAACTGTTCTTCTTTCCGTTGCGAATATTTTCTTGTGACCTATGTGGCCTGGCCTCCGAAGTGACCTTGTCCAATCCTGCTACGCTGTGTGCGAACATGCTACGACCAAAGACATGGTGTCTGGTGTCTTCAGCGACGAGAGTGCAGGTGCTGTGTCTTGCTCAGTCTTGCTCAGTCTTGCTCAGCAAAAATGCGCAGCTAAAAGGATGGCTCCACATGTCGTCACTTGTGTTCCATCGGAGCTGCATCTACCAGGCGAAACAATGCAACATATACATGTTCTTTTCTTTTGGTCTACTGCTAGTTACTGCTGCAAGCAAGACCTCAGGAGTTGCCAACAATGTTTTGCGGGTAGGAGGTGCACAAACGAGTTCCCTGCAAGTAAACAAACAAACAATAAAAAACAAACATTGACATGCCGCACTCCTTGTGGTGCGTTGGACACGCATCAAATTCAGTCAAAATGTGTGTTTGAGCGGTCCGCTTTGCAGACTAGAATGTTAGGTGTCCCTAAAGATCTAGGAACCAAATCATTAGTGCATTCAAGGAAGCTCCCCCCCGCCCTCAGGTGGGGGGAGCTTCCTTTTGCTCTCTTGCTGGTCCACGGGGTCGTCAGCGACTGGAATGCTTCCGCGACTCCAGTCCAGATCCTACCTGTAACGAAGACCTACAGCAGCAGGTCAAAAGGGATGGCCCAGGAGGCCGGTGAGGCCTTTGCCCCCCGTTCGAAGGCCCTAAACAACACCTCAAGAGTGGCATTATCTACAAACGCCTCGGCGCCGATGAAGGCGCCTTTGGGGGAGGTGCGCCCGTTACACTTGTTGCCCTTGTCGAGCAGAAGTGGGGCACAAACGACTCCAAGGGATTTGCAACGCGAAATAGCAGCCCTTGTGGTCGCTGCATATGCTTGGACTGTGCAGATTGTTCCAGTCGGAAGCTCATAACGCCAACCCTGGAGGAAGGCGAACACTGCAAGTTCAAAAACTGAGCATGCTCTTCCCTCGCCCACACGCCAGCGAAGGGTATTGGCAAATTGCAGAAAGGTGCGAAAATTGGTACTGGACAGTTGAGGCCTGTTTTTGAAGTCCATATCAACATTGTTATGCACTTGCCAGGGGAAATCATCTGGCTTGGCATCCCATGCCCATCTGGGGCATTGTTCACGTGGGGAAACCCTCCGGCATGGTTCTCGCTCAGGTGGAGGATCGGCAGGGACCAAAGGAGTATCCTTTTTGCAGGCTTTGTTGAGGTTAGCAAGCCAAAGTTGTCTGGCAAACACATCTTGCTCTTTGAGGCGAATATCAGCATGGACCCGACGTGCATGCTTGTCAATCTGCTGTTTGGCATGCCAGTCCGCCGGTCGGTTGGGCGGGATGTCTTGCCGATTGGAGCCGGCTGCAGTGGCCGGTTCATCTGTAAGATCATCTGCCGGAATGTGCTCCAATAAACGCGCTGGGCACCATACTACTTGCAGAGGCGTGTCACAAAAACCTTGCCGTTGATGCAACAGTGTATGAAGGAAGCCCCACCAAGAAGTGTGGGTCCACTCAACCTGGACACAGTCAAGCCGAAGCAGCTCCCGGTATTGGTCGACAACCGTGAGGGAGTCAGTATGCACCACAAGCGGCTGCTCTGCCATGGCAAAGGCAGTCAACACCGCCCAAAGTTCAGCAGTATAACTTGACAGTCTCCAATGGTGCACCTGACCTGAAGCAAGAAGTTGCTGGTCAGCAGACACAACGGCAAAGGATGCCATCGTGATCCAAGGGTGCTTGGAGAGTTGCACCGACCCATCAGTCCAGACATGTAGGGTGGGTGACAGGGGCTGTATCCACTCAGCGACCTGCAGATCACATGGTCGAGACACTTGCAGCTTGTTGCGTATAACATCAAGTGGAAGCTCAGTGATACCCAGCAAATCAAAGTTTGGTCCCAACGAGAAGAGCGACGTTGGCTGCTTTAAGTCAGCTGGTAATGACTGACATTCCTCAACAAAATGGTGCATGGACTCCTTGGAGGAGTGGCAAAACCTGCACATAGAACTATCCACCAGCCCGGCCGCTGCAAGCCGGTCGGCTGTAAGCGCGCAGCCTGTGATAGCGCTCTCCCAGTGAAAGAGAAAGGAAAATTTGTTGTTGGGTATAGCTGCAAGCTTTTTCCGGGCAGAAAGGGTCAAGCCCAAGTCCAGAAAGCCCAGAGCTTTATGGATATCCTTCCTCGGCATGAGACAAGCAACACTGTAGCACTTGTGAGCGGCTAGGCTTTTCAGGATGCACTTGAGGTCAGCTGCAGAGAACTCCAAGAAGTGAACTTCCGACGCACCCAGAACTGAAATCCCAAAGGGACTGCTCCATTCAATATCCAGGATCTGACAAGCTTGGCCGAATTGCGTCATCCATGCTTGCGGTGTAAATTGGTCCTGCTCAAACATCATGGTCCAACTTTGCCGAGCAAACTGCGATGAGCGGAGAAAGCGAGCTGATTCAATAATGGTAGCAACTGCTCGGTAGAGGAAAGGATCCAACTTGTGGGCCTTGTGCGCAATACATAGAAGCAGGTGCTTGGATCGCCACCTCGGCCTATCCTGCCAAATAGCATCGGCAATTGCACTTTGAAGCCTGGCCAACAGCCGCTTAGGGATGAAGTTCAGTTGGGGCGCAAATGCAATTTGCGGCAGGACCTTAGTGGACAGGATCTGAGCACGCTTGTCGCCATCACATGGTAGGGACCGAATGGCCTCACAGTCTCGGAGAGCAGCCTGCAGCTTGACAACAGGGAAGCACCCAACGTTTTTCCTTGTAGTTTGAACAAAAGCGCCAAGGATGTTAACAACCTCAACGAGACGCATCTGTGGGAAAGCTTGCTTGAGGGCCTTTCGCAGAGGAGCATGAGATGCAAAAAGCTCACATTTACCTGCGTTGAGAAACTGTCCACATAATGAGTCCCAGAGCTCTGTGGCCCGAACTGCAGCAACCAAACTATCGATGGAGGGCATTCGGGTCCACAAGTAAGTGTCGTCAATGAAGGCTCTAAAATCAACTCCATGAATGCAGGAAACCAGCCAGGCCCAGATTGCCATATGTATGTTGATGCAGAGCAAGCTAAGCGAGCATCCCTGAACAACGCCATTCGGAGTGGAGATAGCCTGGGCTCTCGTCCATTGTTTAAACGAAAGAAATCGGGTCATCCGAGTGTAGAGGCTGAGGAAGCCACAGACAAAGTGCTTGGGTAGCCCCAGTGCCAGCATGATGGCTGCGCAATGCTGCGCAAAGCTTTGGCATGAAACGATCGAAGCACTTGGCTTTGTCCAGCTTTAACGCCGCGAAGGATCCATTATGGCTGTGTGCCCGATCAATCTCCATCTGGATGGTCATATGCACTTCAGACATCTGACGCCCTTTAATACCCCCAGTCAACGGGGGGGAGCTTCCTTGAAGAAGCGTGAGCTATCCTGCGTCCAGTAGCGTCCTTAGTAGCTACTAGCTACCTCTTCCTCTTCTACTAGCTACCTCTTCTAGAGTGGTGATATGTGGTGATGTATGTGATGCAGAAGAAGGACAAAATGTCAGGACGGCCCTTCAGGCAAAAATAACCGCTTCAATCTGGCGGATCAGTTATCTGCCTCGACCCAAGTGGCACTTGATATCGTGTGTGGCGATCTGTGATGTGATGTGATGAGGTGAAAGGTGTTGATTTGATGTGAAGCGTAAGTGGTGTGATCACTTAGAAACGTTAGGTAGATGTATGTTTTCCGAACTCCACGTTCCTGTCGAGACCACAGCCGTATACTGTATACGTTTGATTTTCCCGCGCTAATTCTCCTTCTTTCCCGCAGTGACATCTATCTTTCATACCTTGCTTTAGAAACGTCGATATACAGTATACTTTTCTAGACTTAGCTTCAAACATGTACATTATACGGTGGTGGTTGGAACATGTTCGAAATTCGTCACAAGTCCCCATTGCCAAGTCCGCAGCTTCTCCAATGCCAATAAACTCTGAATGCAAATAAGACCACGCAAAATCTCCTTGCGGTCAGAGTTGCGGAGTTCGTATCTCAGTGTTCAAAGCGTTGAAAAGAAACAAGTTTTCTTTGAGCATGGGCAGTGCCACAAGAGGCACAAACACAAGATTATTACGTATCATCCCGAGCAAGGGCAGTAGAAGCAGCCATTAGCGATATCATCCTGTTACTGTTACGGTGCTTTCTCTGGATTTCCCAGGCAATTCTGAATACAGCCTTAGATCTAGATCTATTCTACTCTAGAGATCAAACACGCTCTGCAATCGCCCAAATTGTCAGTGCTGACGGCTACCAGGGAAAACTTTGGAAGGCCGCCTCCCTCCGTGACAACACTCAAGGCCAGCGTGCTCGTATCTGTACTTGTGCTCATTGAAGTCCATAGGACATCTTCTACCGATGTCTTCAATCTTCCGTCAAACCTAGAACCAATCGCAATTAGGTTGGAGGCCAGCTCCTGAAATCCAACTGCAATTGCCGCGGCGCGCTCCCCTAGCTCGGCTTCGCCGACCTGGACCGCTTGGTCAAACGCATGTTCTTCAAATTGACAAAAGTAAAGCACCTTTGAAAATAGAATGTGTATATATATATATACATAATTAATCAGGATTGATCAAGTATATATCAGTTGCTGGCACATTGAGTTCCCGAACCTGCAAATCCTGCAGTAGGAGATCAAGAGAAGTCATCACTGAATCATAAAAGGCTGAAGGCTGTCGCCTTGGTGTGCAAGAACTGTCAAACCCACAGTCTCAACGTGCCAAACACCATCGAAACGTTGTGCTCCAAAACCCTACTACGCAAAGGAAATCTCAAAGGAATTCTATCTTAGAATTCGAGAACACTTGAGAGAGGAGGGGGTGAACGAAAGGTAGCAGGCAATCACAAGTAACCCTGGTAGAAGTCCATGACGCCGTGAGCCGGCGCAGGGGGGATTTGATCCAGGGAGGGGGGGGGCCCCCCCCCCC